GTGCCACTGTAAAACTGATGTCTTACAACAAACAGAGCGACCTTTCAGAAGAGCAGATCGTTCATCAGTTTGAATCTGGTTATGGCTGCCTTCTGCTGAGGACACAGGAAAACTGAAGACTCAGAACAAGTGAATCAGAAATTATGCTCCTGTTTACGAATCAAATACTGTGTAGGTTTAACCAGTAAAGGTGAACTCCTCATACACATCAGCTGTAACACTTGTTGCCTTTAGGTGGCATAGCTGGTTAAACTGCAGCAGTGGTTACTGTAGTTGCCTGTAGGTGTCACAGGTTGGACTGGAAGTGCTGGTCTGACAGAGTCAGAGGATTCTGACAGAACCTGGTTTTACATCAATGACACAATGTCTCTTTATTTATTTTTATTTTTTCTCCTCTTTAGATTTTTGACTTTATACTGAGGTTGAGGGAATGGTTGTCCCAGTCTATGCTCTAATTTATGTTTTAGAAAAGATGAAATTTGGAGAGTGAGTCAGACAGAAAGGTCAAAGCCGGACAGTCAGAATGACAAGACAGACAGACAAAAGGGGATTAGACTGAAAGACTGGTAGGAAGAAACAGAGAGAGATAGAGAAAGATAGAGGGAGAAGGAAAGAGAACAAATGAAAAACATGAAGACAAAAAAAGATGGCAGACAGAGAACAAAAAGGAGAAAGACGGAGGGAGAGACCGAAACAGGGTTGTAAACAACTGAATGAATGTGACAGAAGGTTGGAAGGAGAATGAAAGAATTAAAGTGAAAAGGAGAGAGAGAGAGGAAAACAAGCAACACAATGAAAGAGAAGAAGAAAAAAAGACAAAGAGAAACAAGAAAAGAACAAGAGGAATGAAAAAAGCAAGAGAGGCAGGTGAAAGCTGAGAGAAAAGGGAAGTAAAGAAACAGTCATAAAGAGGAAAACGAGAGGAAAGCAAGATAAAAAGCAATGGAAAGAGGAAGAAGATAAATGAAAAGCGAACTAAGGAAAACCCAGGCAGCGCCACAGACAGACGGCCGGAGGTGAAGAAGGCACAGACAGATGAACAGAAAGAAAGACGATTTGCAATCAGCCCGTCTGCACCACTCCACCTCTTCCTCCCTCCCTCCATTTTGTCGTCCTCCTCCTGTCTGATGCTGTTCCAGCACCTCAGGGTTTCAGCCTCACATTCACCATCCAGCACATTAATGCTGCTCTGCTGCTGCAGCGTAATCACCTGCTAAAGGAGAAAAAGCCTAAAAATAAAGAGACACTGAAACAAAGACAACCATGCTGCAGCTTTCTCATGTGGCTGAATGTGTCTTCAACAGCTGGATAGACTCCAGTAGAAACTCATATTTATTTATACTGTAACATCTGTTTAAAACCGCTGTGTTTAGATTTTTATTCCTCAGCGTATTGCTGTTTTATTAATCCTTCAATCTTGGTTAACTGCCTTAAACCACTGAACCCATGACTGAGACGATCAGTCACCTTTCTGTCTGTACTGTACTGTACTGTCTGGACTATGTTTTCTCCTAATGAAGACTACAGTTCCCATCAGCCCCACTGCTTTTATGCCACCTTTCCACTCCCAGAGAGCTTTGGCTGAATCCAACCGTCCAGTTTTCTTCACACTTGCACAATCATGGGTTTAAAGGCAGGGTATGTTTCAGCATAACTAGTCTGTACGAGGTTTGTCATTTGATCATGTCAGAAGGTAAATGCTGGACAGATGCGAGAGGAGGGAGTTTCATATGGTTTTAAATAAACTGACAGGCATTTAGGTTGGAGCAGACTGGGGCCTTCCACTTGTTTTCAGCCTGATTTATACACCACTGCACTTACATGCACGTGTCGGTCGTACACGGTCGTGTAACTCTTGCATTTATACAAACAATATTCTGACTAATGGGCAGAAGTTTGTGTGAAAACAGACGCCTCCCAACAGTAAGTCCATTAACCAATCAACGTACAGGATGCGCAGCTCCAAAAGATATAAGGTTGAGATCTGAGAGACGTGCACCTCGGCCTGTCTACAACCCTCAACGAGCTACACTTACCCACAAACCCCTGCACTGTGTAGGTAGGCAGTGACGTGTATGGATAGTTACAGAGAAGTATAAATTAATGATTAGAAGCCAGACAATTTTTGAAAAAATTTGCAACAAAAAACCCCCAGCAAGGTACGATGTTCCAGTTGAATCAGAAGCTTTGTTGTTTTAAAAAAATATTTAGTGAATGGAGTAAAACTGAACAGGTCAGAACACTAGAAATAAACAGAGCCCATGAAAATAGTCAGAACAGTGATGCACCAACAAACAGCAGCATTGGTAAGACTTGAGATGCCAGTTGGGGTTAATGTCAAGAGTAGAGAATACTGGAATAACAGAATACTGCAGAGGACAGTAGATTCCAACCCTAACCCTAACCCATCTGAAGCATTTTAGATGAACACTCCATCAGCGATTGAATTATTGATAAGCATGGTATTAGATCAGGAGCTTCATCATCTCCGTCCAAATTAAGCTGCTAATGTGACTTTTCAAACAGTTTGAGCAAACGTCCTTGGACGAATGATGTCTGTCCTACCGCAAACACAAACCATTTTGTTGAATATGTAGAGACAATTACTCAATTACAACAGAAGCATCAAACAAGTGACTACAGAAATCCAGACGTTTGTGATGCTAACCTTTGTGTCACTGAGACTAATTCATGTACATCACCTGGACCTGCCGAATAAGACGTTGATTCTAATTCTGCCTGATAGTTAAAGTATGTAGCTGTGTCTGTGTGCTACATGGAGGTGTCCATTTCTATCTATAGCCTACTAGAAGGCATCGTAAACATCTGCGTCAGCACTAACTAGATACCAGCAATTTAAAGCTCAGAGTAGTAAACAGGAGCAGTGCAGTGCTGAGGCAGAGAGAGAGCTTGTCAGGTCATGTTAACGAGAACTGTTGCATATTTGTAGGGCTGCATGATAAATCATTGTGTGAGATTAGATCCCTGTGCGATCTCAGTCTCATTAACAGTGAGATCCCTTGTGTCAAACCAAGTGCTCCTTTTTCCTTGCTAAGATGCGTTAACCATTAACCACAACTAATAACCACAAAGTGACTTATTTCTGCAGCATCATGTTTGAAAAACAGCTGCAGGAGGGCACAGAATATCTTTCACTATCTTAAGCATATTGGATTTGTCTTTGAATCAGTCTTCTCTTCCTGTCGTCACTTGA